GGGGATCTCGTCTAACCGGTAGCCGTCCTTCAGCAGCTGGATGTTCAAATCTTGGTTGATCTGCTGTAGAAAAGGTTCGAGTCAGCTGGAAGGGCATCTCCCTGGGCTGGGGCCGCCACTGCCACCCTGAGGCCACAGTGACAGCCCCTACTCATCCTAGGTTTATTTTAAACTCCGGCCTGGCTTGGGTCTCACTTCCTCCAGGCAAGTCTTCCTAAGGCCGGGCCTCTACAGGCCCCTGCCCAGTTCAGTGTCAACTTCTCTACTCTTGCTTCAGTTCAGGATTTGCCCCGATTTCAGGTCCACTCCTGTTAGGTGTTGCCTGCATTCCACACATGTTCTGTTTTAGAGTCCCGCTTTAATAACCCGGGGCTGTCAGAGTAGTGATTTCTTCCCAGGCTCTCCCAGCCCAGACCCCGCCTCATGCGAAGCCCCGCCCCAAAGGCTCCGCCCCACCTCCCCTTGAAGAGCCCCAGCCTTGCAGCCTGGAGAAGTGGTCTAGCTCCCCTTAGTCTGTGGAGGCAAGGGGGTGGAGCCTCACCTCCGCAGAGGAGTAGCCAGAGGAAGAGTATCTGGACATGTCGAAGTCATCATCACTGGCCGTGGAAATAAGAGAGAAAGGAAGTGATTCAGGAAAATTAAATAGAAAATTCTCTGCATCTTTGCCATACCCACTGTTCTCCAACAGTATGATTTAAATAATCCGTGCTTATTATGCAAATATATGTTTGCAAAGACAGGTTTCCCGGTCCAACCTTCAAATAAAAGCGGCTTCCTTCTAGATAGAACTGCTATAGTCTCTTTCTTTCTGCCTCGTCCTCATGTTTTTGTTTTTACTTTTCTCTCCCTAGATTCAAATCATCCTGGCTGTTTGGATTCCCTTAAGGTCTCTGGCTAGCCAGATGCTCCCCTGGGATAGGGTTCTTCTCACTATGTCCTCTCCATGCCCATTCCTTTAAAAAACAATCTATCCCCTTGGGAAATTTCACCCATGGAGAGCTCTGGTTGAAGTATACCCCACTTCTGGCAATATGGCAGATGTGTCCTGTACAACCCCATCTGTGCTCACATAGAAATATGGGTTTGTCCAGCTTCCCCCAGGCCCCATACACACCTGTCTGTGTCAAGAGCTACCAGTGGCTTCTCATCAGGGCCCATGGCAAGCGAGGAGTAGCCTTTATTGGGGACGACCAGCCTGGGTAAAGAATTGGGGAGATGGAGTACCAGCTGGAGCATACAAACATGGCAGGGGGCTTGACAGGGTCCTGCTCCCTCATTTCCTCCCCCTCCCTGCAGTCCCCTGAGGAGGGAGAGGCTGGAGACCAGAGAAGGTAGGTGTTGGCTGGTGGGGTCTCAGTGGGGCAGGGAGGATGCCCACCTCGTCCGGGCCATCACATTGTTCTTCTTGGGTTGCTGGTTGACAGGGCTGCCCATGCTGCCGTTCTTCAGGGAACCCTTCCGGGCCAGCTCCCGCTGCTTCTCTGCAGGGGAACATGGGAAAGACGCTGTGTCCTGCCCCAGGCCCTGCTTCGGGGGCTGGGGGGGGGAGGGCGACCTGCTCTGGGCCCTTTTTGTGCATTTCCTTTTCTCCCTGGCACACAGCCCATGGTCCTCCAGGCACCTGATGCTGAGGGACATGCTCTTGAACCTGCATAACTTAAGGGGCAGAGTGTAGGGGAGGAAAAGAGCCGAGTCCTGCCTCTGGGAACCACAGTTCCTGTGCCAGGCAGTCAGTATGTGCCTGAAGCCAAGGACAGGCTAGAGAGGAAAGATGAGCACAGAAGGATGAAGCAGCCAGGGAAGCCTGGAGGGAGGAGGACATTAAGAAGGAAGGCATGAGCCAGGCAGTGGTGGAGCACACCTTTAATACCAGCACTCTGGAGACAGAGGCAGATGGTTCTCTGAGTTTGAGCCCAGCCTGGTCTGTAGAGTAAGTTCTAGAACAGTCAGAGCTACACAGAGAAACCCTTCCAAACAAACAAACAACAAACAAAAAAGCAAGAGCATAAGGATGGAAGGGGCCATTACAGCACCTGTGACTCACTTGAAATGTCCTCTGATTCCCACGCCTCTGAAGCTCTTTCGTCTTACTCCCTGACCACTTTTTTTTTGCCTCTTTGGCTACAGGGGATTTTTCCAGCTTCTCTTCAGCAGGCAGTAACTGCCATTACCACATCCAGCCTCTAGGGGGTGCAATTTGACTTACAGTTCTTGGTGATTTTCTTTTATCAGAAGTGAGACAAGCTGTGAATTTTCATGAGCTTTGGTGGTAATGCAATGTGAAGGAAATAAAAAATGCTATTTTAAAAGTGTGCTAAGTTTGTTTGAAATCATAAAAAATGCAGACAATAAGTTGGCAAGGCTCAGACTAAGGACTACTATGCAACCATTTAAAAGAATGAACTCATTCTCTATAGAGGTTCTGAGACATTATGTAGTGGGAGGGAACATGTGTACAATGCAATGCCATTTGTGCTAAAGTACAAAATGAAGCTACAAGAACTTGCAGTGGTTGCCTCTGGAAAGAGTAAAGAATTTATATGCATTTAAAAATACTTTTATCGTTGCATTAAACAATAATAAACAAAACTGGCTGTGCTCTGAAGAAAATGTCCTAGGAAGACAGAAAATAGAGAACTGCTGCTTTGTTTAGAAATTAGCCAGAAGGGATTCTTTGATATGGTCTAGAAGCAAAGAAGCAAGGTCTGTTTTATTTATTTATTTATTTATTATTTATTTATTTATTTATTTATTTATTTATTTTGAATAGACTAAAAGAACAGACACTGTGGAACGGAATCCTGATAGCTGTGGAGGGGAAGTTAGTTAAAGAGAA